GGTCCTTGGCCCGGCCCATAGCCGGCAGGCCGACGTGGCAAGCACCCCCTGATCCAGCACACCAACACGTATAGCTTGCCTTGTATCACATGTCGTATATGATCGTTTCCGATCCGAACCTGTTCTGTTACCTTTCCATGTCTAATCCGGCATAATCCAGTATTCGAATCCGCATCACACTTCAACATCTGAAGATAAATATGAATATGACAAAGTATGAGCATTACCTGTCTGAACCTGATTTGGTTTCACCCCGTAAGGATTTGTCAAAACGATTTCACACTAGGTCTTTGCTAACTAGCTTATACACAACTGCCACAACCACAGACAATCAAAAAGCATTGGGAAAAAGTCATATATGACCAAAACAATGCCTAAGGTCGGGAGGGGAATATGCATACAAAAGCATTGTTCACATTGGTTTAGTTTTTTTTTCATAATCATAGGTACGGTGCTTGACGGATGGCAACGCTTCTTCTTTGAGTTTGTCTTCCACGTTTTGATCCTCGAGTTCATTCGTGTGGATGTAGTTGACAGAGCTCTGGCGTAGATTCTTGCCGTCATTGGGTCGGTGAGGTTAGGGTTTCTCGTCATGTGGTGAGATTTTATGTCAGGTGCTTTAGATCTATGCAAAGATTCAACGCGACAACTGCGACTCCAGGGCGCTGGTTCTTAGGGGCACGTGCATGAAGACTTCCCTCTTGTCATCGATAAGGTCATGTCAGTTCCGATAGGGGAGCGATGACAACAATGCATTTCTGGCGGCAGTAGTGGTCGTTCGATGGTCTCAGGATGTCAATGTAATTTTTATTATGTTTGAAATGCTTTATATTGAACTTTTATAATAGATCCAATCCTTTGCACGAAAACAAAAAGGAAAATCTTGGCCGCCACACCGTCGTAAACAAGTTTCGCTGTTGATATTGTTGAAGAATAGAGCACAAACGAGTCGTCACATATACGCTAGATAACCCGTAACAGAGAAGATTTTGTGTCATAATATATCGATGATTTTTTACATAGCCACAGTGACCGAAGCAAGGCCACCATTCCCGCCCTATTAGTGCATTAACGTTACAATCCATACAATGTAGCTGGTCATCGAACATGTTGGTAATACTACACGATGGATATAGTTAAGACCCCGCCAAAATGACTGACCGTGTAGCACGCTTAAACTTGCATTAAAAAAAAGATGTTTCACTATCTCATCGTCGTTACATCAACTAACATATCTAGCTTCTGGACCAATTACGTGGAGCAAGGTTGTACATGCGGGGCAAAACATTAACCCACACCATGCTAGTACGTCTATACCCGTCAATCATTTTCACGTGGTATGTCCAGTAGAGCCAAAAGTAGTTCTTCCCGTGGCGATCACTGACTTTTCTTTGGAACCGGGCACGGGGTGTAGTTCCTTTGCCGCTGGAGATTTTTGTGCGAAGGCCTTGGCGCGCCAGGGAAACCATACTTCTGTATGATAACAGGGTGCTATATGTAAGATTACATACTTCTGTATCGGAGAAATTCACATGTGTTGGGCATAAGTTGGTTGGCATGACCATGAGCATGTGGGCAAAAGAGCGAATCCAGACTGGGCTGAGTCCCAAGTCCTGGCACATCTCGTGCCAGTCATGTGCATCTAGGGGCCAATCATTTTGTGGATCGTTGTCGAGGCATTCTTGGTTGGCTGGTTTTCAGATCTAAAATCATGTTCTTCAGCCCATGTTGTATGTATATCCTATTCATTTTACCAAATATCCGGGGCATGCCTGTATAAAACGGTTGATGTGCCAGAAGAAGATTCGGTCAGCAGATGACGTATTTTGTTCTATACATACATACATACACACCCCCACCAGGGTCGAAAATAATTCCAGTGCAACGGTGGGGCTCTTTGCCGCAAGATAGAGGCTGCTGCGCCGGTGTCGGTAGCGTCGCTGCCGCCTCGTTGGTCGAGGATATCGTCGGTGTCAATCAAACGGGCGTCGTTGCACAGAGCGATCCATGAACGACCAGCACGTCTAACATGCGAGCACGATACAAGAGCAAAAAATAGGAGTACGTACAGTGCGGCTTTGATTAGGACGGATCAACGAGGCATCGAATTAGCACTTAAAGGATTTCCTGTTCTTTTATCCAAAGAATTTAAAGTCTTTTTACCAGCTAGTCAGAACCAATATTTCTTGGTTATATTCTGTCTTTTTTTTTTTTTGAGCATCAGTACAGACACAAGCGTTCATATACACGCGCATACACTCATCCCTATGAACGCAGGCACGCACATCCTACCCCTATTAGCACCTCCGAGAGACTGAGCCGACATATCATCTTGAGATTTACGAAGTCACCGTAGGCGCCTCGTCGTCGACGGGAACGTCTCCTCCCACTGAAAGCGCATCGCCGGAAATCCTGAAATAAATCCAGGAATAATGCGAGCACCAGGATTTGAACCCTGGTGGGTTGGGGATACCACTGTCCACCTAACCAACTCAACCACAGGTTGATTCGCGTCTTTTTCTTTGTTAGCTAGCA